ATCATTATTACATAATCCTATCCCTTTTGGATTCTCTCCATATGTGACACTATTACATTGGCATGGTGTGGGTGACATCATCGTTTGATGGGCGTGCTTTCATTAAACCTGCATGCGTAATTTAAGGCGCACGTGTAAGCGGCATTTATTCCCAATTTACTATGATTCCGTAGTTCTGTAATGGTGCCAGGTTCATCATAACTCCACACATGTTTGGGGTTCATCGCAAATATGAGTGCGTCTTATAGGTCATCGTAGATTCATGCATGTCTAAGCTTTATCACAGATCGAGCTAGCCAAAGTTCATTGTGACCTGTCCCAGGTATGAATTCATTGCAGTTTTGCAATGAGCTATGAACCCATCGCAAACGTGCGATGGGTTATGAATTGATCGCATGCATCCGTATAGTGTTGGTTTGACACCTTCTATACTTTGATGGTCTTAGTGACCACTATGTACCTACATTAGCCCCCTTTCTTATCGATAAGTGGGAACTTACTAATAAGCTTTTTGTCGTCGTGTTTTGTTCGAGGTTTTGCGATGGGGCGAAGAGGAAGAGAATTGTAAATGTTGTGGCATCCTAATCTTTTCACATTAGGTTTGGTGATTGCTCCTGTTCTTGGTAAGATGCTTTGCATGTGGAAAAAAAATTATTTGGGTATGTTTGATAGCCCCCCTATGGTATTCGACTTAGTAATGTTCTTGGATGGGAATTGAGAGTTTTCATTTTGTGATTCACCCCCCTGTCTTTTTGACATGCTGTTGTATTGACTCGTATTTGCTTTTTGGGTCATTGGAGCATTTTGTAAGGTATAGCTCAATACTTTCTGTATTTTAGCCCCCTGTATATTGATAGAATGTCTTCTATCAAGAAACACTTAAGCTAGGTGGTGGTCGGATATGCAGCGCAGGTGAAGGATTTGATGGACCTCGAGGCACAAGGTCAAGGTTTAGAGAACATAGTGAGGAACGGTTAGGCTGTCATGCGAATATTTGTAATTACTCATTCTATTAATTTGGATGCTTAGCGCAAGTGTTAAATGTCGTTGAGAAGAAAGAGGGTTGCAAGTGTCCATTGACTTTGGAAAGGACTTTGCAGGTGTTTAGGTAACATCGGCAATAATGGATTTCAAGTATTTGTGTCGAGCACCTGTTGGATTCTATCGCGATCAAGCATTAGCATAGTGAACTTTATCATAGATTATTTAGAGAAAGAAGAAAAAAGAAAAAAAAAACAAACAGTGTTATTCCGATATCTGAGATACTATCAGGTGTGAAAGAGATCACAAATAACATTATGTAAATAAGCAGATAATTAACATATTCATAGAAAGGGAAGTTGGATTACTTTGTAGGGAAATGCAATTTATTTATCCACGCATGGATCGAGGGTTGTCATGTCTTGAGACGGCGAGGCCCTTTATAGGCAATATAGTTGAGGTTCGGCTAGTGTAAATAATCAGCATAAGTCAGAGTTTCATTGCAATCGCATCAACTAACCCTAAGGGTTAATTATGAGCTTCAGACCTCTGTTGCCTTTGTGGTAAGGTTTTGGTCATCGCTTGAAAAAACTAGTTGAGGTCTTTTAACGCAAGTAAGATATCAATAGTCGGAATACATCGTTGCTCCTAACAAAGCATTATAGTCTATGCGTGAGATGGCTTAACTTTGTTCTTACTTAGACCGTTACATTTACAAGTAGGTAAAGAAAATGGTATGGGTTTAGTGTTTCATCCAAACGTACACTGCATGTGCTTTGGGTGTAACCCTAGAAGCTAAGACAAACTACCCCAACTTCTTTGGTAGCACATCAGTGTTAGACTTGGCAGGATAAACTCCCCAAGTTTATCCAATGGTTGAGAACAATCTAAACTAACACAAGTCTCATAAGTGTCCAATTTGGCAATGTAGAGTTTTTGGGTATTCTGTATTGATTGGTGGGATTAGATTGGCCTAATTGGGCCCAAATCAAGCAGATTTGGAAGGGGAGTGATCTGGCCAATTTAAAGCTTTGAAAGGGAATTTTTGTATGATGGAGGAGTAATCAAGGGTATTTTAGGTTGAACTTTTATAGATAGGAAATTTAGGATGTCTGATATTTGATGTAAGTATCTGATCTAAGGGTCGATGTAAATGGGGATTAATCAGGGCTGTCAAATTGATATCGGGCAAATTTAATGGTGGATCTAAGGGCTTTTGGGCTGAAACTCAGGGGTATTTTGTGTGTGTGTGTGTGTGTGTGTGTTTTGCGTTTCGAAGGGATCAAAAAGGTCTGATCGGATGTTCAGGATAAATTGGAGGTTAAAGCAACAAACCGACCAAATATTGAGTGCTGACACCTATCAACTTTCGATGGTAGGATAGTAGCCTAGTATGGTGGTGACGGGTGATGGAGAATTAGGGTTCAATTCTAAAGAAGGAGCCTAAGAAATGGCTACCACATCCAAGGAACAGGCACGCAAATTACCCAATCCTAATACAGGGAGGTATTAACCATTAATAACAATACCAAGCTCTACGAATCTAGTAATTTGAATAAGTACAATCTAAATTCCTTAATGGGGATCCATTGAAGGGAAAGTCTAGTGCTAGCAACTGTGGTAATTCTAGCTCCAATAGCTTATATTAAAGATTTTGCAGTTAAAAAACTCATAGTTGGACCTTAGGTTGGGCTGACCAGTTCGCCTCACAGTGTGCACCAGCCTCTCATCGCTTCTACGTAGAATGCATTCCTAGCCTTAACTAGTTGAGCCATGCCTCCAATGTTATTACTTTGAAAAAATTAGAGTGCTCAAAGCAAGTCTACACTCTAGAAACATTAGCATGGGATAACATCATAGGATTTTGGTCCTATTACGGTGGCCTTTAGGATTAAAGTAATGATTAGCAAGGACAATTGGGGGAGTTCGTGTTTCATAGTCAAAGGTAAAATTATTGGATTTATGAAATATGAACCACTATAAAAACATTTGCCAAGGATGTTTTCATTAATCAAGAACAAAATTTTAGGGCTCAAAGGCAATTAGATGTTGTCCTATTCTCAACCATAAACAATGCCAACCAAGGGTTAGCAAATGTTTCTTTTAGGACTCCACTAGCACTTTATGAGAAATCAAAATCTTTGGGTTCCATTAAGAGTACGGTCGCAAGGTTGAAACTTAAAAGAATTGATAGAAGGACATCACTAGGAGTGAAGCCTACAACTTAATTTGACTCAACACGAGTAAACTTACCAAGTCCAGACATAGTAAGGTTGACAGACTAAAAGCTCATTCTTGATTCTATGAGTGTTGGTGCATGGTCGTTCTTAGTTGGTGGAGTGATTTGTCTAATTAATTCTGTTAACGAACGAGACATCAACCTACTAATTAGCTATGTGGGGGCACCATTTGTGGCTAGCTTCTTAGAGGGACCATGTCCATTTAAGCGACAAAGTTTTGAGGCGATAATAGGTTTGTGATGCCCTTAGATGTTTTGGGCCGCACACACATTACACTGATGTATTCAACGAGTCTATAGCCATGGTTGATATATCTGGATAATCTTTAAAAATTTCATTATGATGGGGATAAATCATTACATTTGTTGGTCTTCAACGAGGAATTCCTAGTAAGCGCGAGTCATCAGCTCGCGTTGACTACGTCCCTGCCCTTTGTACACACCGCCTATCACTTCTACCAATTGAATGGTTTGCTGAAGTGTTCAGATCATGGCGGCATAGGTAATTTATCGCACATGACATTGTGCGAAGTCCACTTAACCTTATCATTTAGAGGAAAGAGAAGTCATAACAAGGTTTTCGTATATGAACCTACAGAATGATCATTTTCGATACCTATCCCATAGAAAGACTTGTGAACATGTGATGCTTGCAAGGACCCTCGAGGGGTGGCCTTGGGGTATGACCTCCATGACCATCTCTCACCTGCTTGGGGTTGCTCGACACCTTGCCTTATGGCTCCCAACCTCCATGGCACATGGTTTAAAGTACAAATACACCCCTTGTGCCGTAACGGGGTGTATTGATACTTTGACCCTTGATTCCATCAATTTATTTTTATTTTTTAAATTTTAGTTAGTTTTTGGGATGACCCAAATTGACCCAAGAAAGGTTTAGCTAAACGCTTTAGCTATTCAATGGGCTGTGGAACCAATGACAAGGTTCCACGCCAGTATTAAATACATGGGACCCGCATCTTTTATAGTGGGGCCATGAATTTAATACTAGCGTGAAACCTTATCATTGGTTCCATAACCCGCTAGACAGTTGAAACGTTCAACTAATCTGAATTAAATTAACCCATGGGTCAACCCTAACCCAAACATTTAGGGTTAGGATCTAGCATTTGACAACCCGACCTGAAATTCGACCAACCCAAAGTGTCTTGGCCCAACCTGAACCCGACCCACCCAACCCAATTGCCAGGCCTAGACTTAACATGCCCTAGATTTTCATAAATTGACTTGAGCATACCCTAAGCTTTTATAATGGACTTAAACATACCTTGTGATAAATTTAAATTCCTTTGTTATGGCATTGTTTCCATATTCTCTTCTCCAACAAACCTCCTCATTTATATTATTTTCTCAATGTTAAACATGGTGCCCATAATTTAGCCTCAACTGGGCTGAAAAGTCAAAACGCTTTGTTCTAGTCCCTACTCGATTCCATTCAAGATTCTTTAAAAGTGATCTGATTAATGCTATTAATAATTCTAACTATGATCTTCGGTAAGGTAAATTTTATTATTAGTTTTTGCTTCAGGTTTTTCTCTTTTCCTTTTTTTTTTTTTGTTTATTCTGTTCTTCCATTTGTGTTTTTGGCTCCTGTTGGTTGAATGGATTTTTTTTGGTAGCTTTCTTCTTGAGAGACCATTTTTTATGCAGCGCCTCTCATCTTCAGACTTAAGCATTTGAACCATTCTCCACATGGCATCTCCCTTCTCTGCATGCTGAGTAGATGATCAAAGCTCTCATTTATTAAAGAGCAAAAGAGTAGTTGATCTCCCAAATGTAAGAAATGCATAGTTTGATAGACGATGAAGTATAGTTAAAACCGAAATTCACCAAAACTCTCAGAAAATTCCCTCCTTGGAAAAGAAAAAGAAGTAACATTGTCTTTTTTTTTTCTCACATTGGCCGAAAACAAACCAACAACTACTAATTACCTCACTTTTTGGATCCAAGAGCATCAAACAGCATCTTCAACTGGTCCCTGAATAAATCAACCCGCTTCAGGTACATCTCAATCTCTTCCATATGCAACTTCCTCCACCTCTCCTCCAATTCCTTCAACTTTGAGCTCCCCATCAAACCCAAACCTTCTTTCACAATATCCTCTCCAAAATCAGGCCTAAGCCGGAATGACTCCATTACACACGGGTACATTGACCAATTTAGCTCTTCATCGGCCTTCACTGCCGCATTTGGGGCCTCTCCCGAAGAAGCCGAACCGACAGCATTTTCAGCTTTCTGTTTCCCATCATCGGTAGTGGCTTGATTATTGCCACCAGCATCATCGGAACCCCATATCTTCTTGGACAATTGGAATGTCTTGGATTCGTGCGACTTAGAAAAAACAGGGTCCTTGCCCCCTTTCCCTCTGCCCATATTGGTCTTGTATTTCTTCTTTAATCGACGGATTTTATCAGCTAATTGGTTCTTATTTACATCAACGTGGAGCGATTTCTTGATGAACTCAAGAAACCCAGCCATGTCTGTCCATGGGTCAGTGCCTTTCTTTGAGTAATCGATTATACCCTTCAAGATTATGATCTCGTCGTCCTCGCTCCACAACCTCTGAAACAATTGCTTCTTGGCATCGTCCCCGGACTTCTTCTCAGATTCTTCTACTTGAAGCGACCCGTTCTCATCGGCGTTCCAAACCTTCTTCTTTTTACTCTTGGGGTCCTTGTTCCCCTCTTTATCAGTCTCCACGGGGCGTTTTGCTCTGGTGGTAGATCTTGTGGGGCTGCTCAACGCCGGAGGAGCAGCAGATCCTGGCCTCGTCGGAGGCTTCTTGGGCTTGAGTGTGTCGTCCATAGGCTTGGAGGTGATAGGCTTTATTCTTGGATCGGCACCAAGAGCGGGCTGGCGGGGTTTTTCGGGTGATTCAGAATCAGAACCGGACTCTTCCTGGGAATCGAACTCCTCGTCTTCTTCTTCTTCTTCTTCTTCTTCTTCTTCTTCATCACCGGAGGGAGTGTGAGCTTGACGACCTGACATAGTATTTGAAGTGGGCGCGGATTTAATGGTCGGGTTGTTGGAAGAGGATCTCTTAGCGGAAACTTGCTCGTGTTCATCTTCTTCTTCGTCCTCTTCTGCTTCTTCTTCGTCCTCTTCTACATCTTCAGACGAGGAATAGGCATCCGGTGGGTTGTCAAGAAGTGATGAGCGTTCCGGAGGCATCTTCTCTCCGGCAGAAAATAAAGGGTCTGAAATTCGAACCAGAGAAAAGTAGGGTTTTTAGAGATGTGTCGACGTTTTATAGCAGCCGGACGGACTGGGTCCAATTGCCTTTCGTTTTGTGAACACGCGAAAAGCTTGTGGTGTGTGCCTGGCTGGGGGATGGCAACGGGACGGGTTCAGAGATCCTACCCGCCTCCCTAAACCTTTCAACCCGTATCCGCCCTAAAATTCGTACAGGCTTGGATTTTAAGAATTTAAATTCTTTATATATATAAAAATGTAATACCATCCCCGACCCTACCCTCCTAATATTTAAGGGTAAGGGCGGGTTGGAATCTGCATCTAATTTTTTATTATTTTTCGTCGTAATAAATATGTAATATAACATAAATAAACAATAAAATTTTTAATTATTTATTTAAGATATATAAAAAAATATATAAATTATCGATTATCCTTCCAGATCAAAATTTTATAGCTCCAAAATATAGGGGGAATGCATCCTGCATCCTGATCATGAATTGATGTCAAAATCATAGGCAGGATGTGGTTTATAGGAGAGGAGAGGGCTAGTAGTAGGGGGAGCTGGAATTCAGAATTATGTATCATGTATATCCGTACTTCTCCGTAAAATTTATATGCTTTCCAACAATATACAGGTGGGTCAAGTTTAACCTAATACTGACCCTACCTGTACTCGTATGGATTACACTAGGTACAAAAAAGACAAACCACGGACTCAAAAAGCTTAATGGTCCAATTTGGTTCGTGAGTAGGATCAGAATCAAACCCCCTAGGAGTTGAAATCAGAATCATCTATTTTTGATGCATTTTGGCTCAGTAATGAATTGGAATCGGATGTAGATTGTTACAATTTGGTTCATTTGGAGTCAAGGTTCAAAAAATTGATATGATACGCCCCGTATCGGGCGAAACACCCTACCTTTTTAATAAAAAAAAATTTAACCCCCAAAAACCAAATTTTGAAAAAAAAAACAAAACTAAAAAAAGCTAATTTCATGGTACTTTGAACCATGTTTAGAGTTGGAATCAAAATCAATTGAAAGTTTCAAATTTGTATTAGTCTTTTTATTACTTTATTATTATTAACTTGTTATTATTATTTTATTAGAATTTAATAATTAATATCTTAGTGTTTTTCATTAATTTATGAATATATTATTATTTTATTATTACTTTTATAATATGTTTATTATTATCTATATATATATATATATTAAAATTGGACGGTCCATGTTAGATTTTCTTTCCAAATTTAGAAACTGCATCAAACCGTAATAAAATAATTTGGTTTGATTTCCTTTCCAAATTTTCATATTTACACTACAAGAAAAATTGCCTAAGGTGGCGGTTTAGAACCAGCGGTCTTAAAGACCGCCACCACAAAGAATGCTAAAGTGGTGGTTTCGAAAAAGACCGCCACCTAGGAAACCAAAACATTTATGGGCGGCGGTCTTTCTGTCGTTTAGAACTTTGAATTGGATTTGAATCGATCCCTCTATGGATTATGGCTGTATTTGGTTGCAATGCAAATACAGATATATACATTACATATTTATCCATTTTTTGGTTCATAAATGCAAATACGGTTTATATTTTAAACCATTTTTGTATTCACCCTGTTTGTTTGAAATTGGTAAAAAGGTGTGGGCTCATTATTAATTGCTCCGACTATCTTATGGTTTAATGCCTTAATTTTGGTCAAAAAATTAATTATCAAATGAATACAAAAGTGTCAAGAAATACAAATTTTCTCTGATAATCATTACTTTTACGTTTCAAACAAACGCGGACCGGGATGCATAAATACCCGGTTCGGCGTTTGTATCGCAAACAAAGAAAAACTTCAAATAAGGGAATCCCGCGTTGTTCTACTCCTTCGCGCCTAGCATTCTAGTCCCAAGAGAGGGGATCATGCTCGCCTCAATTTCCCCAAGCTCTTTCTTGGCAGGGATGGTGCTGCTACTCTTCCATGTTCATCACCCCCAACTCCCATTGCAAATCCTCACCAACCCAGCAGTAACAGTCGCCGCCTCAGCCTCATTCGGAAGCTCAACATGTGGAGACTGCACCCATGCCTCACTACTAGAAAGTTATATAATTAGAGGCGATAAGTCAGAGGCGTTTGATAAAAATTGCCTCTGAAAATGTTGAATTACAACGGTTTGAATTAATTATTATTAAGGCACTTCGTCAATGCCTCTATTCTAGTTACCGAGAGACTGGTTAGTGTTTGGGCTCGCTGAGAGAGAGAGAGAGAAATGAGGGTTTTGCAACTTGCATTTGAATTCGAACCCCTCGTTCCATTCGATCAGAGGAGGCATTCTTTGAACCGAATTCGTCAAAAAGGTAGGGTTTCTCTGGCTCATTGCAAATAGTTACTCAGATGTTGACATTCGGGAAAACTAAAATCGGAGATCGGATATCGGATATCAGATATCAATGATCGATTTTGTTTGTTTTGACAATATTTTGAGCTTTTTCTTTTCTTCTGTGTTTTATCTATTCTGTGGACTTAAAGTCTGTGTTGGTTGTTTTTCTCTGAACAGTTAAGTAACGGTGATAAATCTTATGAAACATAGTTTGAAACTGTGACTATCTGCGTTGAAGATGGAGGAAGCAAAACCTCTCATTTCGACGAATAATTCACATTATAGCGATGACGATGGCATTGAAGCTCGGTTTACGAAGCTCTACAAGGTTTTCTCTACTAATTTTTAATTTCATCAGAATTCTCTCTTCAATTGGTTTTTTACGCCTTATTGTTTGAAAATTTTTCCTTCTACTTTCACCACTTCTACTTGATCCATGAATTCGAAATCTGGTTGTAGAGCGGACTATCGTTTGGCGAAAGAATATTTTCTGAAGCTATGTAGTTGCTCGATCAGAGAAATCAAGCGCCTTCTTTTGGCAAATACGTCTGTAATCTCTTTTCTCGCAATTAAAACATTGTCTTCAATTTGAGTTTAGTTTATTTTTGTTCATGCATACTCTTACACTTGATTGCTTTGAAATTTGATTTTTGTTGTATTTAGCTAGACTGTATGTTCTGGTTCACAGTTTGAAGAAATCGAACAGTTATGGTTTGGTATTCCAGAACAGTTCTGATTTAGTGGATCAGAAGTTCTAATGCAGAGTAGTGTATGGAAGATACACGGATCAGAAGAACGACAATAGCTTTGGTTTAGTATTCTAAGTCTCAGATGAACTCCCTGGAAATCAAGAGTAGGTTTACATTCATCAAGTCCAGGATGTATCTTGCCTGTGTTGAATAATGATCCAGCTGCCAAGGCCCATTGTCTTTTTCTCTTAACCATCTGATTGTGTTCTCTGAATCACTTTCAATGTTTAGGCTTGACATACCCAGATCTCCAGCTATAGATCCCAGTTAAAGCAGCTAGCATCTAAACCTCAGTGGAGATAACAGTCCTTATTGGACCATTGAAAGCCCAGCAAATCAGCCATCACTTCCCCTAATTATCCCCCCAATACCAGGTATTTCTCTTTCATTAGAAGCCCAAGATAAAGCTGTTTCATCCCAAAGCTACCGCTATGCACCTATTCCTCTAGTCATTTTCATCCATTATATTCCAGGACTGCCCTGTGTGATCTGGAAGTCAATGATGTGGATTTTTCTTTCATCCTTCAAAGCTTCTGCAATGGCACCGTTAGCAGACATATATCCGAACTTGAAGTATGGGCAAACCTCATACAGAATGTGCATGTATGAGAAGAGCTCACCTGGTCCAGTAATGATTTATGGATTGGGTTGGGTTTATCCAACTTCTAGTCGATTGATAGGAGATCAGAGTAGAGGTGTCAATGGACTTGCTTTGGGTTGGATCCAATCTGAATTATTATCAATTTGAACAGGTTGGAAATTCCAATAAGAAATGTTGAATTGGACCGCTCCAGATTATAGTCCAAAGTATTTTATCGGATTGGATTGGGCTGGCCCATCTGTAATGGACTCATATTAGACCAGGTTGGGTTGAACCAATATCTGGTCTATTGACAGTTCTATTCGGCTGCAGGTAATTTAGCAGTGAGAAAGAGAAAATACCTAGGTTTTTGGCACTTTTGACATCATACCGTGGTTGCTGACAGCTTAGCTAGTCAGCTATAACACTTTAGTTTAGAGAGAAAATGATACCTGTGCTGGTCATTATGTTGTGACACAAGAGTACCATAGTGGCTACGAGCTTGGCAAGATGCTATTGCTATTAAGTTCAATACAAGAGCCGGTTGATCAATTGGAAATGGAGTCTGAATCTGCCGTGTCTACTATGCTGTGGACTGCATTGTATTCCTAGTAAGCTCAGGACATTCGTCCATTATTTGTACAGCTCTTCTCTCTCTCTCTCTCTCTCTCTCTCTCTCTCTCAATTCAGGTTGACTAGTCAGTCCATCTCTCTCTCTCATTTCCTCTCTACAAGCCTGGCAAGATGCTATTGCCTATTACTCCTGTATATAGGCAGTTTTAACAATCATATGTTTAAATTTCTATTGATTAGTTCTAACAATATTTATAAATGGAGCAGTCCAGTTTTTTTTTTTTTTATCAATGCTACATGGTCTTAGATTAATCTTTGATTTGTGGAAAGAAAATTTTTTATG